GTCATCCAGGTCATAATCATTTCAAAAAAGTTAAAAAACAATCCACTGGACTTTGTTTCCAAGTTTGAAGACGTTTCTCTCCCATCCAGGAAGTTTTTTCAATTCCAAATGTCAGAAATAGCGTTGAGTTCTAGGTTTTATCCAGCAGCCCAACAAAGCCTGATTTCTAATCATATCGGACTAGAAGTCCTCGGTTAATCTCTGGTCCCGTCATGAAGGAGTGCAGCAGAGTTCTCGCTGCAACTAATGATTATTTTGCAAATGGATTAATAATTGTTTTTGATTAATCAATTAATAATGGGTTACAAAGGTTCCTTAAAGAAGATACTTTACAAAATTAAACCAGTTGAAACTAAACCTTTTCCATTTTAAGAGTTCTGGATAGTACGGAGCCCCTCTGATGACATGGTCAAAAAATTTTTTTATTGTGGCCACGAAGTAGCACGAAATACTACTTCGTGGCCACGCAATAAGTTTAACGTGCGCACGAAATACTTATTATTAATATTAATATAATTCCTGGACAACTGGGTAAGCAAATCGAGCGCGCCTTCTCTAAGGTCTAAGGCGCGCTCGATTTGCTTACCCAGTCGGTCTCCGCCAGTCACGTGACATTTGTTGCTAAGACGCCATTTTAGGTGGAAAAGGCGTAGTGTAAACAACCGCAGCATAGCTAAACGAAGGACTAAAGGCCCGTTTACATAGCAGCCTGTCCAAGATAAGTCATTACAGTTAACATAAGCCTGAAAACGGGCGGATTTATTGATATTATTAATATTATTAAGTATTTCGTGCGCACGTTAAACTTATTGCGTGGCCACGAAGTAGTATTTCGTGCGCAGGTTATACTTATTCTGTGGCCGCGAAATACTACTTCGTGGCCACAATTAAACATTTTTTTTAACCATGTCATCAGAGGGGCTCCGTAGGATAGAGCATTTTAACAGAAATAAAGTTTTTTTTTAATCTTCAATACGAAATTTTTATTATTTTTTTTTTATTTTGGTATAATTCCTGCTCTAAGTGGGTCACTCTGTCAGCTAAAGGCATGTTTTACAGTCTCTATTCTCCAGTTAACGATTAATTGATAACTAGATTAGGTCTCGATCAATTAATCCCATTAATTGGGATACTTTGGGTCCGGTTCTGGGGAAGAAACCTTGTTCTGATGGTGATTTTTCCTGATTGTCGTTGAACATGTGGAGGAAAACAGGTGGAAAGAAAAACAGAGGAAGACGGTAAGAAGCAGCAGACAGAGAAAAGGGGGTCGCTCTGTCTCAGTTTTTAATGGGAATTTATTAATAGATTTTCAGGGGAAATTAAATGTTTCTAATATTACCGTTCTACATCCTTCCATCTTAAAGCGTGTGCTCTCAGACAGGCCGCTCTAATCCGTCTATTTCCTGTTCCTCCTCGCCGTAATCCGTCCAGGCGTTAAAACACTCCACGATATTTAGGCAGCTTCAATTCAGCGTAATTTAAAAACCAAATAATTAATAGAATTATTTCACTTTATAATCAGTGAAGTTAAGTGAAATTATATTTTCGGGGCGTCTCCACTCTGTTGATTTGTTGATTTTGGGGTCTGAAATGTTGGTGAACTCCTGGTTTAAGCCTTTATAGAGGAAGTTTTTGATCACTTGCATCCCCCATACAAACAGAGCCCCCCCCCATCCCTCAGTGAGATCTAGAAGCACAAGATCTATATCCAGCCATTCAGCAGAGATGCTGCTACATGGCTGTACATCTTATTTTGGTATTTGACCAATTAGATGAGCGCTTGAATGACTTATTTACTACCGACTGTAAATTAAGTTTCAAAAATGTCTAGAAGTTAAGGAAAAAAAATTATAAAGCTAAATGAAAAAGTTAAAAAAGTAAAAAATAAAGTGCCTGTTTCAGCATTAATACTCTAAGCCATTTGAGGCTAAATGTTTTTTAGGATTGTTTTATTGGAGCACTTTAGTTATTTTTATTAATATATCAGGGCAAGTGGCCGTTTCTTTTTATTACATTGACATTAAATCATTTTTGCCATCAAAATATTCGGGCTGCAAATACGATTATTTTGGAAATCAATTACTATGTCGATAAATTTTGAGATTAATTATCAAATAGGTTCCTTAAAGAAGACTTTTAACAAAATTAAACTAAAACTGGATAGAGAAGATTGACAGATGAATTTTTGTTTTTTTATATCTGAAATGCAATTGTTTACAATTTTTTTTATTATTTTGTAGAATTACAAACAAAAATTTGACAGAAAAAATTGTCTTTTTATCTTAAATGTAAAATATAAATTCGACCTAATTCAATTCAGTTTATTTCTATAGCTCCAATTCACATCATGTCATCTCAGGTCACTTTCCAGTTCACCAGATCATCCAGTCAGATTGATTCAAAGTTTTCTATCTAAGGAAAACCAGCTGATTGCATCGACTCATTGACTCTTCAGCAATCCCTCACACTAAGCAGGCTTGTAGCGACAGTGGAGAGGAAAAACTCCCTTTGAACAGGAAGAAACCTCCAGTAGAACCAGGCTCAGTGTGAGCGGCCATCTGCTGAGGCCCACTGGGGTTCAAGGAGACAGAAGCAGACATAGAAAAAGAAGCATAGATACAAAAGGCAACTGTCAACCAGCTCCACAGGCGGCCCCGTCCAGGAAACACACAGCCAGGCAGACGAGCTCCGAGCCAGCTCCCATGTCAGAGGATGAAGAGAGCACATCCAGTTAGTCACAGTCAGAGAAACAGGACTACACTGGAAAACAGGCCAAGCTCCAACATCTAGAAACAAAGGTGTTGATGGCAGCAGCACAGCTGATATTTCTCTCCAGGATGGAGTCACAGCCAAACAGGAACAGACCAGATGAAGCTACTATGAGGAAAAGCAGAGAGAGCAGAACGTTAGAGATTGAACTAACAGATTCTGCAGTGTGGGAGAATAGAGATAGAATGAAGCAGAATGATGAAAAAGGGGTCCCTATGTCCTCCAGCAGTCTAAGCCTATAGCAGCAAATTAGTTGATTATTATTTCACTAATCGATAAAACCCATTTATTGTTTCAGCTCTACAAAATATACAGATTTGTTAATGTTGCAAATGTAATAAGGTCTTATTCGTCCTCCAATAACACTCTTAGCTTCAGTTGGGGGCCACCATGCAGCTGAGCTTCCCTCTGAATGTCGGTTTTCCTCCTAGGAGGTCAGCAGACAGACAGACAGACAGACGCTCGGTGGTGCCAAATGATTTCAGAGGCCTGCAGGATCCCAGCTCCTTTCCTGACACCTCTGACACCCTAACCTGTCTTATTTTTCACTGCATCGGGTCTGATGTTCTGTATTCACAGCAGGGATGAACAGATTTAATTCAATGTTTCTATCTCTGCTGCAGAGTTTTTATTTTCTATAAATAGAAAAACACAAACACTTCCCAGTGGATGAACGCGGTGCCGAATTCCTTTCCTGGTACCAAGTAGCTCGTCTCTCTCTGCTCTCTGTGAAATCACTCACCACAGCGCTGCTTCTCCAAAAATAACACTGATAATTAATTTCCGCCGTGAAACGATTCATCAGTGAAACTGACTAGATTTCATATTTCACCCTGCATCGATCCCAGAGCCCACTCGCGTGCGCTTCATTAGTTAAAGGGAGCGCCAGGGAAAACAGAGGCAGACGGAGAAAGGCAGAGTTAAGTCAATTACCGCTGTTTGATAGCGCTGCGGAAAAAAAAACACAACCAAAAAAAGGCCAAACACATAACTCACAGCAGAGCTGACATGTAAAAGGGAAGTGATGAGCTGCAGAGTTGGTGCTGCTAAAGCAGCTCGTTTTATGAGGCTCAAACAACATGTAGGTTTTACCTAATTTTAGCTAAAGTGATGGAAAAAACCCGGATCCTCTGGGTCTGACAAGGGCTCCCCTATGGAGTAACTTTTGTTCCATTATTTTTTCAAAGAAAACATTTTGTAAACAGAGATATGGGAGGAAGGAAGGAATGAGAAACAAGACTTACACACATTTTTATTGAAAATATGTTTTGAGTGCAACTCTGCTGTTCACTCAGATGTTGTTATTTTTATATTTTCTTTTTCGTCTTTTTTCAGAATTAGTTTGGTTAGATTTGAAATGAAAATGTAAAAAAAAAACATTATCCAGAAAGGGAAAAAAAGTAATAAAAAAGGTTTAAATACTAATTTCAAATCTTGAAAACCAAGTCCAGTGGATATTTTTTGAATTTTTACGGAATGACTATGACCTGGATGACTGAGAACCTTCATCAGCGTTTAAATACTAACTTTACTGTTTTCTCAGATATATGTTTTGAAATTATTATTTTTTCAAATCTTTTTATTTTATATATTTGAATTTCCTTCTTCTGGACTATAGAAGATTATTATTGGTTAAGATTGAGCTTTTCATTTGGACTTGAAGAGATCGAGAGAGTGAAATTTAAGTTGGAAAAATGATCTCAATCTAAAAGGCAGAAATAAAAAAAATTACAAAATGTTAAAAACTGTTAAAATAACAAATTCTAACAAATAGCAAAACAGTAAAGTAACTCTTAAAACCTTTTTTTATAATTTTTTTTTTCTAGACTGCAATTAGTTTCAAATTTCTATTCGCAAAACGTTTCCCACGCAACAATAAAGGAACTAAATTCATTCCATACTCTGCTGGCCGGCTGGTATGGATCTGAGTCGTATTGTTTTACATTCACTTTTTTTTTTGTCATAATATGAGGGAAAATTTTGTCATTCAATATCAACTTTTATTTTTCCAGATCTAACTAAGATTTATAAGTTAATAATAATTTTGACCCACTTCTGACTCCATAGCCTGGATTTTGGTTGGGACCCCATTTAAAGGGAAAACCAGCTCCATCTATATTTTATCCGTATCGATGGAGCGGATGGACAGAAACCTGTGAGATCTTCATTAAACCGTTATTTTATGTTTTTATAACCGTCGACCTCCTGTCCCTTGTCCCCCCCCCACACAGGTCCTCCGTCTGCACCCGTCCGCCTCATCTCCAATGTGAACGAGACTTCTGTGAACCTGGAGTGGAGCCCCCCTCTGAGCTCCGGGGGCCGCCAGGACCTCACCTACAATGTGGTGTGTAAGAGCTGCGGCTCTGACGGCCGCCGCTGCCAGCCCTGCGGAAACGGCGTCCACTTCAGCCCCCAGCAGCTGAGCCTGAAGGGGACCAGGGTGTCCATCAACGAGCTGAAGGCTCATACCAACTACACCTTTGAGGTGTGGGCGGTGAACGGCGTGTCGCCTCAGAGCCCGGGGCCGGAGCAGGCCGCGTCGGTGACCGTCACCACCAACCAGGCCGGTAAGAAGAATTCAGTTTAAATCCATAGTAGGGAGTCTTGTAATGTTACTGATCGCCATAGATGGCGCCACTGTCCGGTCAGGATTATTTCCAGGTTAATGGATCCAGAATGAACTTCCTGTGTTTCTGTTAGTGACTCTAAAATCTGGATAAACTCCTTCAGTTCTTCTAAATTAGCCCGTTTAGCATGCTAATGTCCTAGCAAAATAACATTACGCTACAGTGGAGGACATTATGCTAAACCATTGTAACATGTTAGAAGACAGGCTAGCAGTTAGCAAGGTAGCTGGAGAAGCTTTATGAGGGAATGACCTCCATGGAACCAGAACCAGTTTAAAAGTTATGCTAACAGAACAAAGTCTCTCCCAGCTCTAATTGCTGGATCACAGTAACCACAGAGCTAGCTCACAGTTAGCATTCACGTCATTCAAACAAAGGTAAACAGAATGACAGTAAAGCTCTTTCCCACTGAAAATAGCGAGCTAACGCATACTTTTCAAACACGAGTCAACCCGCTAACAATCGGCATCTGGCTCCTTTCCCATTGGCTAATAAAGCTGGTCTAACCGCGGCGACATCATCTAGCAGGGTTAGCGCTGATGATGTCACTAGTGGAACAGAAATCAAGGTAGTAAATAATGGAGAGCAGCATGGAAGGAAGCCAGGTTGTAGTCAGTGTGCTTTATTGTTTCTCTCTATTATCTGTCTGAATCTCCCTCACCAGAGCTGCTCTGGAAACAGTTTTTTCTGCTTGTTAGATCAGAAGCGACTGGCGCCATGCGTCTACCTCCGTACGTTGCGTTCAATGGTAACACGTAAATTAGCGGGTCAAGCCGGCTCTGGTGTTCCCACAGTGCGGCGATCAGAGCAGAGGTGATTTTAACTCGGGTCGCTGGCCGACCCGGATAGACATGCATCATTGAGCTGTTCCCATGGCAACTAAAAGCTGATATTTCCCGAGTTTAAACAGGTTTTTCAGCCAGTGGGAAAGGGCTCTGTCTGTTAATCATAGATCTACATCTCAGCTAATTGGAAATCAGAAGAGTTTTACTTATGTTACTCTTTTTTATTAATCAGTAATCTAATAGTTTCCTGTTTCGTTTGATCATATAGATAAATTTAATAATGAGTAAGAAAACAATGATTTTTGTTTGGTACAAGCTAACAGACCATTAGCAAGGTGCACATCAGTGGAAGATGCAAACAAAGGGTTAATTTTAGGGATGCACGATATAATCGGCCCCCTATCGGTATCGGAATTAAAACTGAATAGCGGACATCGGCCACCCCACCGATATTTAACCCGATATTTGATCAGCTTCTGACTTTCTAAAGTCTAAAAATAAAAATACTACTTCTTCTTCTTCCTCAAAAACGTCTTTTTTACAGACTTAAAAACTTCTAAAGACGAGGGAAAAAATATTGATCCATTAAAATATCCCAATATCTTCATATGCTGATATATTGCCATTTAAAAACACCATATCAATCTCTTTTACTAATGAAATATTGCTATATGTCATCGTTATGCTACGAAATCCCCCGAAAATTCACCAAATGTTGCCATATTTTTATACGTTGATATATTGACGCGGTATCGATCTATTTTACTAACAAAATCTCACAAGAATTTGCAAAATATCACGAGAGTTTGTAACAGAACGATGAAATTTCACCAGATTTTGAAAGTAAAATAGATCGATACCGCGTTTTGAAAAATCAATTTGATATCAGCATATGAAAATATATTTGAGTATATTATTTTTCAAAGTGTCAGAAATGGATAACAAAACTTCTATTTTCAATGACTACTTATTTTTGTCCAGCTTTAACATCGGTATCGATATCGGTTATCGGCTGCGAGTTTTAAAATATCGGCATATCGGATATCGACCAAAATCCCAATATCGTGCTTCCTAGTTAATATGGGTTTATTTATGTAGCGGAATTCTTTACAAAGACAGTTCAAAGTGCTTTACATGAGATAAACTGTAAAAACATAAAAAACAAGATGAAAGCAGGTAGTAAAGTGAATCAAACGGTCGGACCACAATGATACCGCCGTTAACAGAAAGCTTTTAACCTTTGAACCGTCTCCCTGGACCACCTGCTGCGTGACTTTGAGTAAAGCACTTTTTTGGGCCGCGGGTTTCTTCTCTGGAACCAGATCTTTTCCAGGCTGACTGTGCATCAGAGTGGAGCGGCTGTCACAGTCTGGCTTCTTTCATTTTGCTTTCATGGAGACAATCTGCATGTAAAAAGCTGCTGTTTGCTGTTTGGGTGATTATTACTGCAGAGGCTGACAGATTCAGCAGACAGAAATGATTTTCTGCAGGATTTCATTGGAGTTTTCCATAATTAGCCTAAGATAGCGGCTATATTTAGCCGTGGTGTTAATGAATTAGATGACTTCTATCGATCTGTGGAGGATTCTTTGGCGTATCTGAATGATTGTGGTAGATTGGAGCCATAAATGCGGAGCTTTGCAGGAGTCCTTCAGCATTCAGAGCATCATTTAGTCCTTCTCTAACCTGTTGATGTGCAAATGGATTTTTACGACCCCTGATCTTTCCTCTTTGTCTCCGCCTCTTCTTCTCTGGTTATTACCGACCGGCTTGCTTTACTGCTCTGCTCCTGGGTGGCAGGCTCAGGGCCTTTAACAGCTAATTTCCCTCCATGGGAAGAGGGAACGTCTCCAATAGAGCCTGGGTCGGCGATTTAAGGACACAGAGGCTTGATTTATCAGACGGGATCCAGAAGATGGAGATGAATGGATGTGCAGCTTGTGGGAAAAGCAGCGAGTCCTGCCAGACGAGCATGCGAGTGGGGAGCTTTAACCTGGGGTCCAGAGCGCAGCGGCATCACCGCTTGTCCCATAGATTCAGTCCCACAAAGAAAGAGTGAGCGCTAATGCTAAGACACAGTAACACAGCGAGCGGGGCAGCGTCCCCCTGAGGCTGAGCTACTGCCTGGAAGCTGTTAGAAACGATGATGTTGCCTTTGGCTTCTCACTTCTGCATATTTCAAGTATTTGGATCTGCAGCTGGAAGCTCTGCTGGTGTGGAAGTTTTATGTTTTTTTAAGGTAGACCTGAACAGAGCATCTGCATTTAGAGCCGAACCAAATCACAGGAGAAGCAGGTCTGTTCATCACCGAAAAAAACAAGGATTTCCCCCAAAATTTCCTAAAATCTTTTTATTTTTATTTTAGTTCTCACTGAAGTATCCTTTACTCCCAGCGATGCTACTAATGCTAATTCATTCATTTCTATTCACACTGTAGCTTTCAGAAGATCATAAAACCCAAATTGTATGGAGTTAATTTTGTTCCATTATTTTTCCTAAAAACATGTTTTGTAAACAAAATTTAAAAAAATCTAATCCAGAAACCAAACTTAAAAAAAACATTTTCAAGATCAGTTTTCATAAACGATTCTTTCATGGTTTCTTTTTTTTTAATTATATATATATATATATATATTTTTTTTTTTTTTTTCTTCTGTTTTGTAGATTGTGTTTTACTGATCACAGCTTTCCTCTTTAATGAGGACTAAAGATGCATTTTTATTGGTCTGCTGGACGTTAGCTACAACATTTTTATCGGTTAAGGCAAGTTTATTTGCATAGCACAATTCAGTACACGGATAATTCAAAGTGATTTACATGAATTAGCTAATAAAATAGAAGAAAAAAGAAAAGCAGAATAAAAGCAAAAACATTTGTGAAAGTAATAAAACAATTGGAGCACAGAAAAGCAGAAAAGAAAGTTAAAAAAAAGGGAGCATTTGTGATATTCGCGAGAGAAGAGAAAATGATCTGCAAGACAAAATTTTGAAAAGAATGCAATTAACGAAACTGCATTAAAAAAACAGATTGGACACAAAAAGATTTGAAAAATAAATAAAAAGTTATTTTGAATTAACAACCTGAGAAAACCAAAAAGTGACCTTAAAACGTTGATTCAAACGTTATAAAGTTTTTATTCTAGATTGGATTATTTTATCTTTGTTCTTTGCCAAAATAATGAAGCATTATTGCCTCCATACATGCAGTTTGTTTTGCACGGCTTTCCATCCTGCGCTTTGTCTCCTTCCCTCTGTTCTCTCGTGGTCGTCATCCCTGCGGCGGTGAAAGCGAAGGTTTTCCTTGGACCTTCGCAGCCTCAGGTCAGCCTCGTCTCTCAGCTGAAAGATGAAGATGAGCTTCATTTCCCTTTTCCATCAAAGTCTTTGTTGCCAAATGTGAAAAAGCTGCAGACTGATTGGATTTCTGGCTGCTAATGCTCAGCAGGGCTTCGGTAGCTCTGGTTTCAGCCGCTTTAATCCAGCCAATCATCTCTTCCTGATGGCCGTCCCTCATGCAGACATCTTGGATCGCCGTGATTATGATCGATCTGTTAGGATTTAGAAGACGCCTCCGCCTTCCTCTGAGAAGTTGGAGTTTCTGCTGGATAAGATGGAGCGGCGGGAGGAAGGAGCAGCCGGTCTAAGGACCAACGGGATCGTAGATCTGTGACCGAGCCTACGTAGATGCTGAACGATTTCTCAGTCGTCTGTGCTTTGAAGTGACCCCTGGCTGTAAATGAATGTTTTCTTCTTCTTCTTCTTCATGGGATCAAGCACTTAATGTCTGAGGGAAGAATTCAGCGGGAGGAGACGTGTTTATGTTTGATACCAGATTCTTGGCAGGCTGATGGTGAATAAGAGTATGTGTCCGGGGGGGGGGGAGTCCTCCCACCCCCATGGAGGAGAGTTTCCATACATGTGGAAATGTGTTTTGGGAGGTAGAGGCGGATTCTGTTCATCCAGGATGGGAGGGGGGGGGACCCTGCAAGCGGGCGCGGTGCTTCTGGAAACGGCTCCCCGGTCGGCCATTCCTCCTCGTCGCCGGCGAGTTTTAGGACCTGGAACCTGGTGAACGGGCTCCAGTCTGGCGGCCACATGTGCAGCGCGAACCGTTTGCCTCCTGAAAGCAGAGCCGCGCCGCCGCAGAGGCAACAAG